CTGCGGGCGAGCTCCCCCGGCGGCGGCGGGAGCGGCGGCTCGTCGGCCTGAGGAGAAGACGGCTGCCCGTCGGCCTCGCCGGCCGGCACAGATGCTTCGGTAGCCGTGACCGGGAGCGGGTCAGCGCCGGCCTCGCTGCCGGGAATGGGCTCCATCTCCGGCTCGGCCTCTCCGGCGCCCCCCTCCCCGGGGGACGCTGCAGTCGCTGCCGCCTCTGCAGCCACAGCCGCCATTTTCTTCCTGGCTTCTCCCTCCTCCAACTGGGGCGGCGGCAGTGGCGGCGGCAGCGCTGCTTGGTTCCTTGGGCCTTCTCCTCCCTATCGCAGAGTGTTGCGTCCCGCCCTTTCCCTAATGTTCGTTACTGGGCCCACGCCATTGGCTGTTTCTTACACCCCTCCCGCAATCATGACATTCTATTGGCCAACCAGGAACGTCTATCATCTAGTTAATCCAGCCCTCCCACTCAAAGTAGGAACTTGTCATTGGTCGGAAGAGTTGTCAACCATGAATCTCTGGGGGGGGTTGGGGGCGGGCTACACAGGAGTAAGGGGAGAGTCACAAAAGCAGAGGCCTACACTTACCGTCTCTTTCTATTGGCTAGAAGAGATAATGAATATGGCTGGTTGGCCCACGCACCTGCCCATTATTAGTCAGGCCTTTCAAAGGTGGGAGAAGGGAGAGAATCACGTGGCGTGCCAGTTCTTTCAAAGGCGACAGAGGGGAGGAGTAATAGGAGAATGTGGGAGGGGAGCGGCTTCCCAAGCATCCCTGCGCCGAGGTCCTTAGAATAAACGCTATTTCTAGGCGCGGACCTGCCTGCGGCGATGTGTGGGCAAAATAAGCATCTTTGGGTGGAACAACTAACTTTGATAATGATTCCACAGAGGTTTGTGAGCGCTTATTGTGCTAGGCACTATGCTAAGTACTGGGGATAGAATGATGTGCAAGACGTTCTCCATAATCTCCAGTATCTCCCGTCCCCCCCAACACACACCTTGCCCCCTGCCCCGAAACAAGGAGTGCCTTCCTTACACTTTCTAGGAACAACACACCTACGAATTTCAAAGTAGGAAAATACTAATGAACAGAGAAAAGACTGCAGGCATAGTTGATTAAGCTGAGGAATGTTCCAGAGAGCAGCCCTGAGGCACTGCTAAACTTATGAAGGAGCCCTGGAAATGGGTGCACCTGGCTCGTTGCTAGGGCGTTTATCTTTATTGACCTCTCTTGTGCCACGGGTACAAAACGTCTCTACAGCGTACTGGTTTGCAACATTAATTCTTTTAGTTTGTTAGCTCTGGAAGAAATCTGCTGTGTCCATTACTCACAAATTGCACCTCAGAGTCAAACTTTTCTCCACAAGAGATGGTATAAGCTAAGAATGCCAATGGAAAGAGTGAAGAAAAGTTGCTGCCATTGGATCCTCCCTGTTGGTGCAACTGGTTGAAACGCGGCATTCTGAGGCCATCAGCAGCCACTGCAGCACTAGTTCAATTCCTGGCCAGGGAGGTGACCCACATGGGGCAGCAGACCTCTCGTCTCACCAGCGGTTCCCCTCAGCAATGTATTTCAGTCAATGTGCCTGTTCTGTTCCCAGGCGCCACCCCCCCACCTCTGGCCTGTACCCCAGTTCTTGTATGCATAAATAACTAAATCTAAAAAATTAAAAAGTTGCTGCCATTAACACAAGTAAAAAATAAATTCTATAAAAATAAAAAATAAATTACTAGAGTCGTATAATATACTATGTGCACTAAATACAGATACTTAGTATAACTTAATACAACTTAACTCAATACTGCTATCAGAAAGGTACTACTCTATGGGTAGAATAATTTTATACAAGTTTATATAATAATTTTATAGAGCAATCCAAGCCCAAAGATAAGGCCAAAGTCCCTCAACCAGTAAATTCAAGAGTCAGAATTCCAGTTTTACACTGAAAAAAACTGAAAATGGCAAAATGCAAATATCACCACATGTGCTGCCTATTCCAAGCCATGGCTCATCAAGACAGTCAGGGCATGTTCTGAAGCTCCAGAGTAACAAAAGGAAATGAATTTGCCAAGTGCCCATCCTGTGCCAGAAACTTCCCCCAGAAATTCTCATTTAAGTTTCCAAGTTAATATAAAAAATTTTAATCTTGACTTAAGCCTTCTTCTTTACAGATGAGGAAACTAACCCTAAATTAGTTATAGATCTTAGCAGCTGCACATACAGCTAGAAGCAAATAAATCCCATCTAACCCAGATCTTTCCAAATGTGCTGTTTCACTAACTCCTTCACTGAACAACTGATTATCTCTTGCAGGCTAAATGCCACCTGATGGAGGAAGGAATGCAGAGGAGGCATCACAAGACTGAGTCACATAAAGGAGACAGATAGAAGGGGCTATTGCAGCAACTGACACAGCCATAACATCAAGGTCAACCTGTGTCCTGTGTCCGGGATGCAGGAGTGCCCAGCAGATAACAGACTGTTGGGGGCTGTGTCTGAAACTCAAAATCCAAAAGGTGAAAGATAAGGGCATGGAGATGAAGGTCACCAGAAATCTCTTCAAAGACAACCAGCTTAGGCTCACAGGGAGTGAGCCCCTCCCAGGAGAGGCTGTCTATCTATATTCAGGCAGTCTCTCCACCAGCTCAGAGCAGCCACTCCTCTGCCCACCTATGACTATACAGGTGCTTCTTTCCACCCACTCTCTCCCTCTGCAGGGCAGCAGTGTCCTGCCAGCCCATGACCTGTACCATGCCAGGACTTCTCTGCACTTACCTCCCTCAGTGGAGGCCGCTTTCCTAGAACCGCTCGCCTGCAACCATGCAGGTCTCTCTCCCTGCAAACCTGTCCCATTCAAGGTCTGCCCGTTTGTGTCTATGCAAGTGTCTTTTCTCTCCTGTCTCTTTCTAATAAACTTTACTCTTTAAAAATCTAACTGAGGCCCTCCCTGGTGGCACAGCGGGTTAAAGCACTGCACTAAGAATCAAAAGCCACTTCCGCATGAGTTCGATCCCCGCCTGCCCCAGAGGAGATCCACATGGCGTGGCAGACCTCTCCTGACCTGCCCGCTGCTCCCCTCAGTAGTGTACTTTGTCGATCTGCCTGTTCTATTCCCCACTCTGTCTCTGGTGAATCCTCTCACCACACCTGAGCCTCTGGCCTGTACCCCAGTTCTGTATGCATAAATAAATAAATCTTAAAAAAAAAAACAACTAACTGAGACTCTGCCTCATGGAAAATCTCACCACGCGCTGCTGAAAAGGGAGCTCTGGCGAAACCTTTCCCAGAGTGAACCCAAGAACCCCAAACTCAAAAGACAGCATCACCACCTAACAGGGTTTTCACTATCATCACTTTGTCTACAGTTCACCAAAATTAATTAACTTAAACATTATTTAATTTTAGATATTCTTGACCCAACCAAGTTTCCACATTGGTTTCCATCAACCTTCCACAGGAAGAAAAATACAGTTCTGGTCTAGGACGCGATTACCTTTTGCAGTAATTCAGTAGAACATGCTGCAGTGAATCACTTAAATTAAAGATTTATAGCAGGTTGTTGCTTACCAAGTTACCTTCTAAAGCACCATTTTCTTTATTTTGTAAAGGTTTATTTATGCATACAGAACTGGAGTACAGGCCAGAGGTGCAGGGGTGGTGACAGGACTCACCAGAGACAGAGTGGGGAGCAGTACAGGCAGGATGACAAAGTACACTGCTGAGGGGAGCAGAGGATGCAACGGGAGAGGTCTGCTGCGCCATGTGGGTCGCCTCCTTGGGCAGTGCTGTGGCTAGCTTGTATTGCTGCACTCTAACCTGTTGGGCCACCATTTCAACCAGCAACTCAAGATCCTCTGCTATCTCCACATTCACCTAAGTATATCCTCTTCTACTTGCAGATGGACCTCTTTTCCTATACTTTAAAGGTTTGTTTTACAGTACTCTTAAAGTCCCCTAAAATCTAGCTTGTCAAAATCTGGCTTCCTCCTTTTATTGGTCCATTCATTCAGCAAATAAATACTGATGGTCTTGTAGGTGTCAGCTATTGGGTTCGGAATGCAGATGGCATGCAGAAAGCATACAGAAAACTTAGTACCTGGCCTCCTGGAACTTAAGTTTCTACAAAGGAGTTAGAAAATAAACAAAACATGAACAAACCAAATTACAAACTGTGAACAATGTCACAAAGAAACTAGGGGACACCCTGATGGCAAGAGAGATTAAAAATATGACTCTACCAAGCCATCACCAGTCACTGCAGAATGAGTTCAATCCCCAAGTCAGGGAGCTCCTAACCCACAAGTCGCAGCAGACCTCTCCAGTCTCATTCCCTGCTGCCCTCAGCAGTGTATTTCAGTAGATACACCTGTTCTGCTCCCCACTCTGTCCTCTTACCACCCTCCACCTCGGGCCTACCCCCAGTTCTTGTATGCATAAATAAATAAATATTAAAAAAAAAAGATTAAGAGGAGAGACAGAGGTTCTCTTTAAGTAAAAGGTCAGAAAACTCTTCTTGAAGGACAAGACAACTTAGAAAAAATGCAAAGGATAAGAACCTCCCAGGTGGCCTAGGGGTTAATTCTCAGCTCTATACAGCTAAGGTCTGAGATGGGATCCCAGCCAGGGAGGCTGACCCACCTATGGCACTGCAGACCTCCCCTGTCTTGCCCACTGCTCCCCTCAGCAGTGTATTTCAGTAAAAATCTGCATTTCTGCTCCCCACTCTTTCTCTGGTAAATCTCCCCTACCCCTCACACCTCAAACCTATACCCCAGTTCTTCTACACACATACAAAGGAGCCAGTTACTGACAGTGCTGGAGGAACTTTTGGGTCAAAAGGTTCAAATGCTAAAGTCCTGAGGCAAAAGAGGGCTTGACTGATTCTAGAAACAGGAAAGAGAACAACTGAAGAACAATGAGCAAGGAAGATAAACGAGATAAGGAACACTAGGGACAAATCCAGTTTTATGTGTTCAAAAAAAGAACATCTGCCCTCAGGGAGTTCCAGTTCTAAGTGGGAACCCAGATGGTATCTGTGCTATTGTTTCCTGCCCACCCTGCATTCAACCCATGCTGCACAGAATTGGCACCCAATGTTTGATGAATGGGTGGGTACCCACAAATATGATTTGAGTTATCAGTGGCTACCTGAATGGTTGGTTGGAGGGTATCTTAGTCTGTAGGGGGCTGTCAAGCACATGAAAAGCAGGCACAGTCCTGGGATCTTCCTCCAGACTCAGTGTTAATTCACAGGGCTCCTTCTACACA